TATTTCTTTGTTGTTTTTCCCCCCCCCCCCCCCCCCCCGTTAGTAGAACTGTCACTGAGGCTAGTAACAGCTCTGCTCGTGGAAAAAGTCTTACACTGGTGTACTTATCGAGTCTGTTACTGCCATAAGCTGAACTGAAAAGGTTTTCATGTATTAGTCTCATGGACGCCCAAGGACCCAGCCATACTGAGGCCTGTCCCTAGTTTTCGTGGAGTCCACCATAATGAATAAGGTATTTTGTTACTGTCGGCTTTCCAGGAGTGGCACGTGCCATACCTCTGCCAGAGCTGTTACCGGAGTTCAGCGCCTGGAAATGCTTTTCTAGCCCCAGGAGTCTGTTGGTGTCACAAAGAGAAAGGCGAATTCTTTTCCAGATGATTTGAATGCAAGTTTCTGGGGAAAATTCACTGATGAGCCACATGCCAAAGTGATTTTGCTCTCTAACTTGTGGCTGCAGTGTGCGATGACGGTCATCACTACAGAGGCAGAAATACTGTCCTTCAGGCAACGGGTCTGGGCTCGCGTTGCGGTACAAGCGATTAGCGCCCAGCGCTCGCAGTCGTGGGCACGGAGGGGTCTTGAAACCCTGTGAAGCGAGGCCACAGGCTGCTCGTGCGCGCTCTGTGGTGCGGTGCGCGCCGTAGCCCTTTCCCCCACGCAGAAGTGAGTGGTTCAGTTTAAGGACTCGGATAACGTCAAATGAAGGCGTACGGTTTGAAACGTAACTACTGATTGTGGGCACCTCCAGTTTTTATAACCCCTCTTTAGATACCCTAGAGTAAACCTGACTTTCAGAAAGGGCTGAGAAACCTACCTTCAGAAAAAATCAGACTCTTGGCTGATGAAGTTTCTCATCGTTGTCATCATTCCTTTATCATTATGTGCATGGCATTGAATATACGACCCCCCTATTATTCTGATCTCTTCTGAGAATTAAGTTAGTAACTTTTGGGGGTATGTGTCAGCATTCTGTGATTAAAAAAGCTGCTGGTCTGATTACAGCCCATGTGCTAAAGCTTTTTTTTTTTTTTTTCTCCCCCAAATTAATACTACTGTGTGATTAGTTTGCAGCTAAAGAAACTGCATTGTAATCTATATTTCTACTGGACTTGAGTGTCTTACTGGGAGCTCAACTGAAAAAGCGTATTTCTGAATACAGCGTGCTTTTTTTATCATATGAATGTAACCATAGAGTTTACTAGGAATAAAATGTAATAGAAATAGTATACAGTTATTTGATTAGAAGACTTTTGTAACAAACCTATGCATTTACTAAAGGAATTTCTAAAAGTGAAAGTTTTAAATTGTATTATTATTTATATACAGTAAAAATATATATATGTATAAATTTGCTCCACTCACTATTTTGTGAAATTATTTAGAATGTAAGTGGTCATCATTTCTGAGGAAAAAAATTAAAAGCCATTTTCTTAATGATATAGTTATGAGAACTGTGAAAATACAAAGCAATACCATGTAGCTTTTGTAATCAATAAATTGAATAAATGAATCATAATGATTTAATATTAAAATTGGCTTTTTAAAAATAAATTGCTACTGATGAATTAAGTACAAATTAATGCAAGTATTTACTTGGGAAAGAATCACTTAAAATATTTTAAGACTAACTTATTATAATGGTTCCTAACTAATCCTGTGGGCCAGAGTCTGCAGACTCACACCACAGAGGAGGTACTCGTAGCGATGTTTCTGGATTTGGACATTTACTTTGTTGCTTGATTTAGTCCAAAATGTAAAATTCCATTCTCCACTTTAGAGAGTGGAACATGTGGCTATCTATAACATGGTAAATATGTCATATATGCTTTGCTCCCAAGCCCACGGAGGTCGGTGACGAAATGCCCGCGCGTGCCACGAGGCACAGGGACAAGGGCTGGCGGTGGTTCTGCACGCGCAGCACGGCAGAGGAGGAGGTGGTAGGGCCGCACGCCCGGAGGAAGCCCATGGTGGTGCCGCCGGCAAAGGGCTCAGCGGGCCCTGGTCTGCCCTGGGAGAGGCTTTGGAAAGGCAGAGAGGCCCTTTGACATCAACAGAGAGAACTCCCTCGGCGTGCCGGACAAGCGGAGTGTAGAAACCCAGAGGCAGCAGAAAACTCCCGCTATCGTATCCACGCAGTCATGTTTGGTTTAGTGCTGGTTAGATTCATTGTGCCTGCCGATGACATACGAATGGGTGGCTTTCATTTACATGTTTTAGACCAAAGTTTTAATGTCAAGCCTTCAAATCTTGTGTTAAAAAAAAAAAAAAAAAAAGAGGAAAAAAAAAAGTGACCCCAAAACCAAAACAAAAAAACGGAGAAAGATGGGATCATTTCTTATGCTGAGGGTTGGGGTTTTTTCCAAGTATTATTCAGCAGCTGATTCTTGGGCGTTACAAGGATGCTGAATAAATAGTCTTTTAAACGTTAGTATTTAAAAGTATGAAATATTTTTTACTGTTGCATGTTCTGCCGTAGAACAGGATTTTGGCGGACGCAATGTCAAGCGGATGCTGGGACAGTCAGTAAGTATTCTTCTAACAATGGGTTGTTGGAGAAGTGATTATGAAGAATAGACTGACTGGTTTCGGTGACGTAGAACGTTTCCCTTCGACCAGTCGCCCAGCCGGGACAGCCGTGTCCTCTCTGGCAGAGCGCCGTACTGGCTGTTGTATTCCTGGCTTACATTGTGGAGTTCATTCACACTGCGTAGACTACAAACCAGCGAAGGCTAGACGGGAAGAACAATACTCAGTTTCAGGTTAACCGATGCAAAATGGATTGTAGGAAAGATGTCAGATGTATGAGAGCTGCGCAAGGCAGCACGCGCAATGCCCCTGTCGCTGTTGGCAGCTCGTGAAGGTAGACCGTGTGGCCCGGGAGAGAGCACAAGACAGCTGTGGTGTTGCAAATAATTAAATAAAAACCGTGCAAGACTGTTCCGTTTTTAAGAGTAGAGTTTTTAATAGCTTTAATTTGCGGTACAGCGAACTTCTGAGCAGGGCCTGTGCTGCGGGCGGTTACAGCGACCACGCGCCCCGTCACCGCGGGGGGAGCTGGGCTCCTGTGCACCAGGTGGGACGGAAG